GGATCAGTCCATGCCCAGTTAGCATTTGCTGAGGGGTGTAGGACAGGAAAGGATTGCACCAGTTACAAAAACACTCGCGTGCAGCTCTTGCTGCTCTACTAGTCACTGTTTGAGTAGAGGAGGTCTTCTAAATAGTTTCCTGCAGCACTGTACTCCTTCTGCCCTATTTCTGAAGCTGCCAGATTTCCACCATGCCTTTGCTGCTTCAGCCTTACCTTTGCTCTTCCTAGGGTGGCTTTGTTATATTGTGCTGAGCTGTGGGATGCACTAGGGCCCCTCTGCAGGAGCATTGTCCTGTGGCTTCTGTGGCCTTAAAAATAATCCTTTATCTGGCCAGAAGAGCAGTTGCATGTTGTTTCTCTAGCATGACCCTTGCCAAAATTGAGAGTGCAGGACCATCTTGACTGCTTGCTGCTCTAGTGTCAGTTCCTGTGTGGGATGGTGGTAGGGGAGGAAGCAGTACTGCAGCTGTAGCATTGTTACTTTGATCACCTAGATGGGTCGACTCGTGTGGAAACACACCCTTCTTGGTCTGAAGAGTGTCTGATAAATCCTTGGTGGCCTCATGGATATTCCGTTTTGTTCGTTGTCCTTGGTACTTAGAGATCTAGTTCTCACTGTGTCTGGGTTGTCCCAGCTCAATCTGTAGGTGGAGGCTCATATGATTGAATGTGTCTGCGTATATTCACTCTACGTAGCACACAAATTGTCAGAGAGAAGATTTCCTTCCTAATACCCCCATCTTTTTTCTGTCTGGCTTTCTGTGTGGATGGTGTCTGTGTCTTAAACTAGGAGCTTCCATTTGAAACAAGGCTGCCCGTACACAGAGTGAACACCTCAGAGAGAACTTTCTTTCTTTGTTCACGTCAGAAGCACCACAGTGCAACCAATAAATATATCTGGGGTTTTTTTGTGTGCTAAGTGACATCAAAAGCATTTCGGGTGACTAATTTCGAGTTTTCCATAGTAAATATTGAGAGGTACACAATAACTGATGTTGGCTGTTCTTCTCTGTGCTCACACTTAGGCAGAGCTGTCCAATTTGGATAGCATTTTATAGTACCGTAATATTTGTGTTTGTTCATATTCTGTGTAATGAAGGTTTCCCTTTGCTGTAGTGTTGTTGGTGTGCAACATGTGGGTTTTGGGCCCAGCAAAGTGCTTCCTTCCCTGCCTGTTCCCAAACCTAAATGACAGGCAGAATGGTTTTAATTTTAATTGTATTGAGCTCTCTGTGGCTAGCCCTCTGGTCAAGGTTAAGAGCCGCCCCACTTAATTGGGTGTGACTCTCGCTTTCTCTCTCCATCATAGCTTGCTGTTGACTTGTTGCCTAGGACCTTGGTTTGATGGGCTAAGATTCAGGATGTGGAATTCTTGTGTCTGACTGGTGTATTTATTCAAAGATGTGCAAAGGTCAGGCATGGCATGGGAAAAATTAAGCCTCTGCGCTGTAAGCACACATTCCTTGGCTATCGTAATGGTTGATCTATAGAGTGGGGATTGATGCACACCTCTTAACCCTCTAATGTCTCGACGGTGCAAGGGTTTTATAGCAGAAAAACCATCCTTAGGTGCAAGGAGAGATCTTCCATTCCCCAGCAATGTAGATCAGGACAGGATAAGTACATTTGCATGGAATGAACTGGAGGTTAGACATCTATTTTAATTGTAATTGGAGAGAACTTTCTGTGGACCCAGTTGACACTGCACAGAACTCCTAATTTGGGCCACAGTTCCCACTTGCCAAACCTGCTCTGGAATTGCTGATGAAGGGTGCTCTCACACTGTGAGATGAAACAGTGATTAGTTAAAATAACTCTCAGAGAAAGTGGTTTGTCTTGAGCTAACAACTATTTGTTTGTTTAAACAAATAAACTAGACTTGTGAGAACAGGTCTCAGTACTGTTGGAACACAGTCGCACAGGTATGTAGAAGTAATAGTAGTCGAGTACCTTGCTTCTCCTTTTCCCTTGGGGTGGGGGGCATACCTGCAAAAAGTGGGCAGAAGGAGCAGGGACTGTTGCTATGCCCCAAAACAGAATATCACCTTCTAAAATGATTGTGCAAGCCTGCAATGAAAACATCCTCTGATCTGGAGGTAGCATGAGTGGCCATAATTGGCTCTTTGTTTTTTGTGCGGTATGCTTCTAGCTTGCTCTAACATGTTGTGGCTCTCTTGCACTAACAGAGGCTGAGTGTTGCTGCAATTAATCTAAGGCGGAAGGGTGCCTTGACAGGTAGAACTGCCTGCAAGTGAAGCCAGAATGTATATTTATGTTTTGGATCTGGCATCCTGTGCTTTTAGAAAATGTATGTGTGCGTCTAGGGGCAGGATAGGAATGGAAGGTATTTGATATTTTTGTATTTAGTTGTGCAAGTTTAGTTGTGTTTCATGGGGAAAGGCTGAAGTGTGGTGGTAATGAAATACAAATGCAACAATAATAATACTAAAAAAGGGGTTTGGCCACTCATTGCAAGATGGGGGGGGCAAGTCTCTACATGTCCAACTTTGCTTACTTTTCGAAGCATTTTCCCACAGTTATCAGTGAACGAAATGGAATCCTAGTCTGCTTTCAATATGAAACATATTTAGGCTATGGTCCAACACTGTCTGTTTAAAAAAAAGGGAAAAAAAAGAATGGAGACTCTTTTCTCATTCATAGGCTACATGCTGAGCTAAGTCGTGAGAAATGAGTTTGCTTTTGACTTTTTTTAAAAAAAGTCAGCCTTATGCCTACACCTTGCAGTTGTTTACTTTTCTTTCATGAAAGCTGTTTGTTTCTGGTAATAGCTAATTCTCTTCTGCCACCCTTCCGAATGGATTGATAACTAGTGCTAACAATGTCACTAGGCGTAAGGCAAATTTAAACCTTATGAGTCACAACTTTCTTTTTTGCTGCCCGAGTTAAGAGTCTTAAGTGTAATTTCACTCCTCCCACATCCCACAGAGCAACAGTGACCTAACTCTTACACCTTTTCACTGTAAGATTTGGCACTCTTTAATGCGCGGCCTTGGGCAATTGCATGTCACAGGGATTAGTCCTCCTGTTTGTTTGCCCAAGTTTCTGTCCCTCATGGTTATTCTGAACATTCTCAACTTTCCAAATCTCAAAGTCTTAACTTCTACATGATTTCTTTAGGGGGGGGGCTTGAAATGATTTTGTGCATGTTTGTCTTGCCCGCCCCCCAAATACCACTTACAAGATAGGCTGTTGCTGTGGATGAATGAGGGAGAGAGAAGATACTGACTGAGAAAACTTGCCAGATATGTGGTAAAAGGTAAAGGTAAAGGGTCCCCTTGACAATTTTTGTCCAGTCGTGTTCGACTCTAGGGGGCGGTGCTCATCCCCGTTTCCAAGCCATAGAGCCAGCGTTTTGTCCGAAGACAATCTTCCGTGGTCACATGGCCAGTGCGACTTAGACACGGAACGCTGTTACCTTCCCACTGAGGTGGTCCCTATTGATCTACTTGCATTTGCATGCTTTCGAACCGCTAGGTTGGCGGGAGCTGGGACAAGCGACGGGAGCTCACTCCATCACGTGGATTCGATCTTACGACTGCTGGTCTTCTGACCCTGCAGCACAGGCTTCTGCGGTTTAGCCCACAGCGCCACCACGTCCCTCGTGGTGGTACAAAGCGATTATTACCTTGCTTTGGCATTCTACCCTGTCACAGGCTGTAATGCTGTGTGGTAACTTTCCTTCTCGTAGGCTAAACCACTTCAGACCTGTGGCATTTGGTTACATGCTCAGGATATAGCATGAAGTGAGAAGTATTGTACTTGCTTCGTGGAAAGGCATAGCGGAAAGAACTTTATATTTATATTTCCTGAATTATAGTGGGGAGTGGATGTGTGGGTACTTCCCACTGTTCTCGCCGAAATGAAGTATTCTGACTCATACACAGCTCCTTTCTTTGGGCAGTATTGCGAGAGAGGTAGGCAAGTGAAGGCAAGACTGACACACACAGTCAGTCCCGTGGCCACCACCGCCACCTGTTCATCTCAAGGTTAGAAAGAAGGTGGTTTAGCTAGAAGAGCTGGCACCTTTCCACCTTGAATCCATTAGAGTTGTGTATAGCAGTGATTAGTGGATTTTAAGATATCTTGTTGGCCATCTTAATGAGTTTGTAAGTACGGAGAGTGACCACTCAGTCTTGCATTTATTCCCTCTTCCTCTAAGCAGGCTTGGTGGGTTAGTGGTGGGGGTGGTGGGGGGGGGGGGGGGCGGGGTCCATGT